TAAACACAAACGTGACGATTAATATCAAATTAGTAATTGATTTCATATAGTTGATAACTAATAATTAATTAGTGTGATACTACGAAGGCAGAGGCATGACCGATTGATGAACCGAAAAAAAACAAGAAATTTCCTCGAGAAGATAAAGTTATCTTAAAAACTATTCTTAGGAGATCAGTAATACTTAAAGAACTATGAGATCAAATATGAGGTAGAAGTTCTACGTTGGCAACTTGGAGAATTCTTGGGTAAATTTGCAAGCAATTGTTACCAAAATTCAGCAGAATCTTGGTCAAATAGATATTTAGATTAATCTACAACTTTAGATCTAATCTGTTTTTTGTTGTATCGATGAGCTTTTTTCAGGCAATTTTTACAAGTGTTTTTCCTTATTTTTTCATTTTTTTATCCGACTTGTTTTATGTCAAAGTAAACAGTTCATGAAGAGTTTCCTTAAAACTGATGCAGCTGGCCAACAAATATGACTTCAAGTATCTTTGGTAAATCTTGAGTACGGTTTGTATAAAAAATCCACTATTTGCAGAACTGGTTAAAAGACTAGAATGAGATCATAAAGTTTCTTAAGGAACTCATGACAAGTTGTCAGCAAGTGCACAAAAAGTTGCTAAATTCTTCTTAATTTATATGTTTTATCCGAATGAGTATTAAGGAACAGAATGCTCTTAGATAGCAATACTTATACAACTATGAGATCAAATATGAGGTGGAAGTCCAGCTTTGTCAACTTCAAGAATTCTTAGGTAAATTTGCAAACAATTGTTACCAGCACTATCTTAGATTGAAGAAAATATGACAGATTTTTTCATATTTTATCCAACTTGTTTTATATTAAAGTGCATGAAGAGTTTCCTTAAAACTGATGCAGCTGGCCCACGAAGATGACTTAAAATATCTTTGGTAAATCTTGAGTACGGTTTGTATATAAAAAAATCCAGTATTAACAAAACTGGTGAAAGGACTAGGATGAGATCATGAAGTTTCTTAAGGAACTAATGACAAGTTGTTAGCAATTGCACAAAAAGTTGCAAAATTCTTCTTAATTTATGTTTTATCCTAATGAGTATCAAGGAACAGAATGCTCTTAGATAGCAATACTTAAACAACTATGAGATCAAATATGAGGTAGAACTCCAACGTTGGCAACTTCAAGAATTCTTAGGTAAATTTGCAACCAATTGTTATCAGCACTATCTTGGATTGAAGAAGAAGTGAAAGATTTTTTCACATTTTATCCGACTTGTTTTATATCAAAGTGCATGAAGAATTTCCTTAAAACTGATGCAACTGGTAAACGAAGATGACTTCAAATATCTTTGGTAAATCTTGAGTACGGTTTGTATATAAGAAAATCCAGTATTTGCAGAACTGGTTAAAAGACTAGAATGAGATCATAAAGTTTCTTAAGGAACTCATGACAAGTTGTCAGCAAGTGCACAAAAAGTTGCTAAATTCTTCTTAATTTATATGTTTTATCCGAATGAGTATTAAGGAACAGAATGCTCTTAGATAGCAATACTTATACAACTATGAGATCAAATATGAGGTGGAAGTCCAGCTTTGTCAACTTCAAGAATTCTTAGGTAAATTTGCAAACAATTGTTACCAGCACTATCTTGGATTGAAGAAAATATGACAGATTTTTTCATATTTTATCCGACTTGTTTTATGTCAAAATAAACAGTGCATGAAGAGTTTCCTTAAAACTGATGCAGGTCAACGAAGACGACTTCAAATATCTTTGGTAAATCTTGAGTACGGTTTGTATATAAAAAAAATCCAGTACAGAACTGGTTGAAAGACTAGGATGAGATCACAAAGTTTCTTAAGGAACTAATGACAAGTTGTTAGCAATTGCACAAAAAGTTGCAAAATTCTTCTTAATTTTTAAGTTTTATCCTAATGAGTATTAAGGAACAGAATGCTCTTAGATAGCAATACTTAAACAACTATGAGATCAAATATGAGATAGAAGTCCAACGTTGGCAACTTCCAAAATTCTTAGGTAAATTTGCAACCAATTGTTATCAGCACTGTCTTGGATTGAAGAAGAAGTGAAAGATTTTTTCACATTTTATCCGACTTGTTTTATATCAAAGTGCATTAAGAGTTTCCTTAAAACTGATGCAACGAAGATGATTTCAAATATCTTTGGTAAATCTTGAGTACGGTTTGTATATAAAAAAATCCAGTACAGAACTGGTTGAAAGACTAGGATGAGATCACAAAGTTTCTTAAGGAACTAATGACAAGTTGTTAGCAATTGCACAAAAGTTGCAAAATTCTTCTTAATTTATATGTTTTATCCTAATGAGTATCAAGGAACAGAGTGCTCGTAGACTATCAACCAAGACTAGTCTAAAATCCATCTATATTTTTACCCTACTATTACAAATTCCTGCATACTTGTGATCCAGAAAGATTAAGTCCAACAGTTCTTTCCCCATAGACTAGAA